CTGACGGACCATTATGGTGTTCGATCCTCAATTTTCAACGTCCCCTGTGCTTCCAGTGTACGTGTGTTTGTACGACATCGTCAACGGCAGACTCTTTGGAGCACACTAACCATACATGGCTCTCCTGTGTGTGTGTATGTGGGGGGTTTGCATGATGAATCGCGGTTAGAGTAGTGCAGAGTACAAGATGATGGATAATTCATGCTTGTACATGGCAACTTAAGTGTGTGTGAGTGAAAGATAGTTAGAAAGAGTGCACTGCACTTGTAGACAAGATGTGTGTGTGTGTGTGTGTGTGTGTGTGTGTGTGTGTGTGTGTGTGTGTGTGTGTGTGTGTGTGTGTGTGTGTGTGTGTGTGTGTGTGTGTGTGTGTGTGTGTGTGTGTGTGTGTGTGTGTGTGAACGAGGGTGTTTAGTCTGGTGTGTAAATATGCATGAAGGTGAGGTGAGTTGTTTTACGAAATGAATGGCCTTGGTTCACTTTTTGTACACTAACAATGATTGTTTTTCCACTTTTTTTGACTGCTGCTCCTACGTTTTTCTACCTGTTCTAATTTTTTACCTACGAGGATTTATTTCTTACTGGTGCTCTTTCATACGACCACGTCCACTTGTCGCCGTATCCAACGCCCACCTTTTATCCTTTTACAAGCGATGTGCATATCTGAGGCCATCGCCCCACCCTCCCACACACACAAGCACACACACACACACACACACACACTGTGTTCACATGAAAGTGCCTTTCAGGATGCATGTTGAATGCAGGAGCCTGGTCTGCCAAGGGTGTGTGCTCCCGTCGCTCTCTGAAGAGTCGTTCCCCAAGTTATATAATAACAATAATAACGCTAGAGCTCTTTCCAGATATTTAATAACCTAAATGAATAATAAATATGTACATTTAATCCATTGTGATGTCGCACTTTCATGTATAGGACTGTATTGGCATGTAGCATTAAATCATGTTCCAGTGCATTTTAAAATGTGTCGAAACTGAATGTCTTTGAAATAAAGGAAAGTTGATATGTCGCAAAAATGGCGTAGTGCTTTTTTGTTGTTGTTGTTGATATATTTCAGTTTGCAGTGCTGGAATGATATACTAAAACGTAATGGTGAGTAACACTCATTTTAACACACTATTTTGTGCACGCAAAAATATAATTCTTATACCAAATGAATTGTGAATTTTGGTTAAACTATTTTGATGGTCCACTTTAGACATTCTAACTATAACTTTGCAACTTCTTGTCAAATAACTCTCATTAATTTGGAACTACATGTCAACTCATTCTTATTAAAGTATTAGTAGACAGTTAGGGTTAATAAAATAAGTTGACTTGCAAAGTTACCTATAATCCTTGTTGGGAGTTATGTAATCAGATTACTTTTTTTAAGTAACTAGTTAAGTAACGCATTACTTTTAAATTTACAACAAAATATCCGAGTTCTCTTTTCAAACAGGTAATGCAAGTTACCTTATTTTCCCATTTATTAACTCTCCTGTCCCCATGTTGAGAGAAATCAGAAGGAAGTGCACAAGCGTTGTGTGTGTAGTTCTAGACTAAATGTGAGTATGCATTTACTCATCTCACTTGCACAAAAACAGATTCAGTATTTTTCTAAATAAATAAAAACAGTGAGAAGCAAATACAGGTTATTTTCATTTTTGGTGTGAAAGGGCCTTTACATTTGCCAAAATTATAATTTTTGCTGTTGTTATTAAAAAACAAATAAGCAAGGGCAGCGCAGATGACACAAAAGTAACGCAATGCATTACTTTCCATAAAAAGTCACTAAGTATCACAATTAGTACTTTTTTAGGGAGGAATGCAATATTGTAATGCATTACTTTAAAAAGTAACTTTCCCCAACACTGCCTGTAATCAGTAAAATGCATATTGGATAGCATCAAAATAAAGAGTTAGCAGATATTAAGCAGACAGTCTACTCTGATTGGTTGACATGTAGTTGCAAAGTTACTTCTAGTTATAGAACGTCTAAAGTGGAATTTTGAAATGCTGTTACCTTATTTTTTTTATGTAAAAGATTTTTGAGAGTACTACTTTTAATATCCCTAAATTTTCCTTGGAATGTTAGAATCCATCTGCAAGAATCCATGTCCTTTACACATGTGCACTAATAATAACCTATGCTTTTATTTCAGTCTTGCTGTTAAAAATGTAGGAAGATGCGAGGATCCTTTTATGGCTCACGCAGAAGTGCACAAGTGGTGGACACAGTCTCTGCCTTTTAGCAAGGAATCATTTCCCATCATGCACCTTAACTTGGCAGATGCTGAAGTGGAGGTAAAATTATAATATAATGGGATCTAAAAGTCTGAGATCACTATTGAAAATGTTTTGTTTTAGATTATTATTTAAAACTACTACTATTTAATGTGAATATCATTATGTTTAAGTATTTGGTTTATCTCTCTTTTGCTTTAGCTGCATGAACTCCACAATTTTGTGTAAAACCAGGTGGTGGTGATGGCGCAGTGGATAAGACACATGCCTTTGGTGTGAGACCCGGGTTCGAATCCACTGTGAGACACCAATGTGTCCCTGAGCAAGACACTTAACCCCTAGTTGCTCCAGAGGCGTGCGACCTCTGACATACACTCACCGGCCACTTTATTAGGTACACCTGTCCAACTGCTCGTTAACACTTAATTTCTAAGCAGCCAATCACATGGCGGCAACTCAGTGCATTTAGGCATGTAGACATGGTCAAGACAATCTCCTGCAGTTCAAACCGAGCATCAGTATGGGGAAGAAAGTTGATTTGAGTGACTTTGAACGTGGCATGATTGTTGGTGCCAGAAGGGCTGGTCTGAGTATTTCAGAAACTGCTAATCTACTGGGATTTTCACGCACAACCATCTCTAGGGTTTACAGAGAATGGTCCGAAAAAGAAAAAACATCCAGTGAGCGGCAGTTCTGTGGGCGGAAATGCCTTGTTGATGCCAGAGGTCAGAGGAGAATGGCCAGACTGGTTCGAGCTGATAGAAGGGCAACAGTGACTGAAATAACCACTCGTTACAACCGAGGTATGCAGCAAAGCATTTGTGAAGCCACAACACGCACAACCTTGAGGCGGATGGGCTACAACAGCAGAAGACTCCACCGGGTACCTCTCATCTCCACTACAAATAGGAAAAAGAGGCTACAATTTGCAAGAGCTCACCAAAATTGAACAGTTGAAGACTGGAAAAATGTTGCCTGGTCTGATGAGTCTCGATTTCTGTTGAGACATTCAGATGTTAGAGTCAGAATTTGGCGTAAACAGAATGAGAACATGGAACCATCATGCCTTGTTACCACTGTGCAGGCTGGTGGTGGTGGTGTAATGGTGTGGGGGATGTTTTCCTGGCACACTTTAGGCCACTTAGTGCCAATTGGGCATCGTTTAAATGCCACGGCCTACCTGAGCATTGTTTCTGACCATGTCCATCCCTTTATGGCCACCATGTACCCATCCTCTGATGGCTACTTCCACCATGTCACAAAGCTCTAATCATTTCAAATTGGTTTCTTGAACATGACAATGAGTTCACTGTACTAAAATGGCCTCCACAGTCACCAGATCTCAACCCAATAGAGCATCTTTGGGATGTGGTGGAACGGGAGATTCGCATCATGGATGTGCAGCCGACAAATCTGCGGCAACTGTGTGATGCCATCATGTCAATATGGACCAAACTCCCTGAGGAATGCTTCCAGCACCTTGTTGAATCTATGCCACGAAGAATCGAGGCAGTTCTGAAGGCAAAAGGGGGTCCAACCCATTACTAGCATGGGGTACCTAATAAAGTGGCCGGTGAGTGTATATAGCAATTGTAAGTCGCTTTGGATAAAAGCGTCAGCTAAATGAATAAATGTAAATGTAAAACCTGATGATCGTGTTCTCATGATTTAAGATGATCCGAGCATTTTGAGCTTCTGTGGAACAATCTCTCTATACCGTCACATGATTAAGGTCACAAATTTACTTATTTAAATTAATAAGAAATATTTCAGCAACAAGACACTAATCAAGTAACATTTCTTTTTTATTTTAAATTTGATTTTGAGTCCAGATTTTCTGGTCCAGTCTCACACCACTATGGTTTCCGATTTGTGGATGGAGCCTGTTTTCTCTGCCTTGTGGGTATACGGCTATCAATCTTTAATGTTTTGATTTATATTAATCTTCATTTTTCAAATGCAAGGTGGTACATCCTTTCCGTGTCCTTGAGCACAGACATCAACTCTCATATGCATAGCTGTGACCTGTGTTTCATTGGGTTTGCAGTGAACCATAACAGGAAAATATATATTTTTAATTATACCAGTTTATCTCATTGAGATTTAAAAGCTCTTTTCCAAGAGAGACCTGGCCAAAATGACAGTGTATTGACAGCGCACAATAATAAATATGAACAACAAACACACGTACAACAACATAAACAATCAACATTAGACTAATTCAAAAGTACACTTTACATACTATGGATTTTAAAAAACGAATTATTGATAATTACATATTAAAAACAATGACAGCAATTTACAGCATCTATTTCTAAAGATTTCGTGTAGTGTTTAAATTGACCAAATGAAATCAAATCTCGCAACTTCAAATCCAACTGCAATGTGTTCCACGTGGAAGGGATGTGAAATGAATGTTCTAGCAGGACAATGACCTTAAATACATTAAAAAGCAACCAGGAATGGTAAAAAAAAAAAGAAGAGTCAAAAGTGTCGGTGAAGATTCACAACTAATTTTATTCCCTGAGAGGAAGAAGTCAGTAGTTAGTATGATACACATTTCTATACTTTATTTCAGAAGTGAAAATGTACACAATAGGAGGAGAAAAGTCAAAACATTAAAACCAAAGGTTTAGCTATTAAAATGTGTTACACATAGCAAATTAACATTAAAAGGGAAATCAAAATTCTTTGCAATAGGTCCCTTTCATATTCAGTAAAGCAAGTCCAATTGCTAACCCGGAACACTCATTTGCGAGCACATAAAAAAAAGAGACAAATGTTCACAGCTGTGATATTCGTCTTTGGTCTGAAAGTGTCTGAATCATGAAGCGCTTGGACCTCTTTAATAACTGTTCAAAGGGAAAAGGATAAAACGGTTTCAGCAGCACGGTGAATACAAGAGCGTTAGCAACTGATATTGACCTGAAACCTCCTTTTAAAACAAACTATATTTGGGTTGAAAATAGTACATGGTGAAGTTCATCCCTTGGAGCCAGGTTTGAGTGTAGTGAAGGGTTTGGAGTTCCTCAGCGATCCCGTCAGCTCCTGCAGGAATGCCACGATGTGCGAGTCCCTCTCGGACTTCCTCCCGTCGAAGATCACCACCACGGTGAAGTGCGGCTCGGGTCGCGTGAGGAAGTAAGTGCTCTGGACTTTATCGTCGTAAAAGTGGACCACCTTATCCAGAGCGTTGAGCTCCGTGGCGCGGTCGCTCATGATCATGATGACGTTGGGCCAGTGCGTGACCGGCCTTTCACCGCCTGGAAGCGACACGACGGCCGGAAACTGGTCCACGCCTTTGGGGGCTTCACGGTACGAGTGCGGATGGTGGTATCCGTGTCCCTGGAAGCTCTCGGAGCCACGGTTGTCGAAGACCAAGGAGACGTTCGAAGCGTCGTGCTTGCGAATAAAGCCAGAGATCTTGCCGAAGTAATCGAGGGAGGTGCGAGCCGTCAGGGTTTTCATTTCGGACTGTGACGTCTGCCGGTTAAGAGCCTCATGGAAGTAGAAACTAAACTTGGCTAGGAGTGTCGCTTGAAGGCGCTGCAGCCACAGATAGAGGTGCGGCGGCAGCACGGCCTTCTGGGATTGGCCCCCGAAGAGGTGTTTCCTGGTCTCTCGTTGGCGTTCGAACACCTGCCCCCATGCCTGCAGTTTGGAATGGGCGCCGTGCAGGTTCAGCAGAGACGGAAGGAAATGCCACGCGGAGATCTGGGCCTGGCATCGCAGGAGCTGAGTCAACACGTCCACCTCCACCTGGAAGCTGTTCTCCAGACGGCTCAGGATTGGGTGGTGGAATCTGAAAGAAATTAAATGGCCATCAAGGATTACAGATATAACCTCCCCTGAATTTATCAGACTGTGCAATATATTTTGAAATAAAATCAATACCACTGGTAATATGTTGGTAACTAACTAGTCAGTTGACGGCACCCATTGACTTGATCAATGGCTACCGTCAACAGGTTACCAACATTCTTTCAAATATCTTGTGTTCAAGAGAAGAAAGAAACTCATACAGGTTTGAAACAACTTGAGGGTAATGACACATTTTTGGGGTGAGCAAATTGCAAAGGCTAACTAATTCGTTGCCAGTTTCAGAGATAAGCGTGGCACTGTGTTCATGTATACACCGTAAAAAAAAAAAAGTATTTTTGAGATTTCAAGTGTCTTACAAGAAAAAAATGGGTTCATGCCATGTTGTAATAACCATAATTACGAGATGACAACCCGTGACATTCTACCCGTGAGCTGTTCCTCAGACACGGCATTATGCGTTTCTAAAGGCCTTATGTAGCTCCGCGCCTTTTCAGCGCTGCGCTCATGGTCTGTCTTTCCGGTTTATATTTCCACAGTACGAAGTTAAGATCTTACGGGTCTATGAATGAAGAACTCGTTTTAAACTCTTCCCGGTCTACTGACGTTTGATATGACATCCTTATTTCAGTCTTTCTCCTTAAAAATGTTATGTTTAATTCAATGTTACTTTGTGAAAATCGTTTCAAAGTAAACTCTGCACCAATGTTTTTTTCAGTACACGCTGAAACAATCATAAGCAGTGTCACGCTTCACTCTGAAACTGGCAGTGCATATTTGCTGGCAAACCACCAAAATAAAAGCACAATTTTTTAACACTGAAAAGTGAAGAAATTAAGACATAAATATCAGTATTTTAATTTTACAGTGCGCTATAAAAATTGACTCAAAACGCTATTTTTTATTAAATACTTTTTTTTACAGTACAGTTGTTTTATTGTAATTTATTTCTTATTTTTTTTATATTTTAATTAATAATAGATAACAATAAAAATTATTTTAGACATTGAATGGGTCAAAAACTGTGAATGCGGCTAATGAAAACACGTGGAAAGCTCTTGTGGACGGCCGCCCACATTTTTCAAGTATTTCCCAAATTGTAAAACCATAAAAGGATGGTTTGCACTCAAAAAAAGTCTTCAGCAGAGTAAAATATTTTCTTTTTTAGATTTTTACAACAATTTTAAATTCAAATGCACTCCTCCACAAAATCAACTCATTCAAGAATGATGATTATTTCAAAAATAGCTAATTAAGTCATCTTGAGAATTCTGTATTTTTTCATACCGCAAAATATATCAGAAACACTAAATACCGCATTGTCAGATTTTCCAATATTGTACAGCTCTATGTGTAATGGAACTCAATGATATTAATATGAGACGATGTAAGATGGTGGACGATTGTCAACATCTCTGTAATCCTGCAATCTGTGTGTCCTGTTTGTGCTTGAGCTATCGACGCTGTGCCAGCTTGTTCTCTTTGCTCATTAGCTCTGGAGAAAGTCATGAATACTGCAGGGTGGCATAGAGCTCATTACATCTCCTGCATTCAGCAGCAGCGTGAAAATTCTTCACCCCTGACTGATCATTAATTACATGTCTTAGCAGGCAGCCAGAAAGAGAGCATGAGGAAATGACTGAGGGAGAGAAAGAAAATTAAAAAAAAAAAAAAGGCTCACAGAAGAATACTTTCTACTTCAGTTTAATCCAGAGACGAGCCATTTGTTAACCCTGGTGCTAGGAACAAACCCTGACCAGCCTAACATGGCAACCAACGGTGTGAGTTTGGGGCGGGTCTATCGGTTTGGCCATCCATGTTTGAGGAAACCTGTTGGAAAATTATCACTTTTGCAAACATGAATTCACATATAATGCTTTTTCTTTGTAGGCCAGCAGTTGAAAGCTGACTTGTCAAGGTCAGCCCCGGCGACCCTCTTAAGCGTCCCGCTGCAGGCGAGAGCTGAATCTCTGCTGAGCCGTCGGCTGACTGATTAATTGATCAGATAACATTTGGGAGATCTTGTCTCTTCTACTCCAGCGATGACTCAACATTTGGCATCCTTCTTTCCGTGAAGTGCAGAGTTCACCTTGAGCAGTCAGTGGGAGCGCGCTCAGCTGCAGATGTCAGTAACCTCACGCACTGCTTTACGAAACATCATTTCTGATAGAACAATATGGGTATTTAAAGGTGCATTTAAGTCGTTTTTACACTTTAAAAGAAATCATGGTTGAAAAAAGTGTATATATATAGAGATCACACACACACACGTATATGTGGTTTACGGGGACTCTCCATAGACATAATGGTTTTTTAAACTGTACATACTTTACTATATATGATATCCCTTAAAGGAACACTCCGACTTTTTGGGACTTTAGCCTATTCACCTTATCCCCCAGAGTTAGATAAGTCCATACATACCTTTTTCATCTCCGTGCGTGCTATAAGTCTGTTTGACGCACCCGCCGCTAGCCTAGCTTAGCACAAAGACTGGATGTAAATGGTTGCAGCTAGCATACTAATCCAAATAAGTGACAAAATAACGCAAACATTTTCCTATTTACATGTTGTGATTTGTATAGTCACAGAGTGTACAAAAAACAAAGTCACATGAGACACAGACATATTTTAACCGTATAAATCCTGGGAACTATATTCTCTGAAGGCGAAGCACTGCTACTTGGGCGGAGTGATAACCGCAGCACCTGAGACGCGCCGTGGTGAGTAGCAGAGAGCGCGTCTCAGGTGCTGCGGTTATCACTCCGCCCAAGTAGCAGTGCTTCGCCTTCAGAGAATATAGTTCCCAGGATTTATACGGTTAAAATATGTCTGTGTCTCATCATGTGACTTTGTTTTTGTACACTCTGTGATTATACAAATCTCAACATGTAAATAGGAAAATGTTTGCGTTATTTTGTCACTTATTTGGATTAGTATGCTAGCTGCAACCATTTACATCCAGTCTTTGTGCTAAGCTAGGCTAGCGGTGGATGCGTCAAACAGACTTATAGCACGCACGGAGATGAAAAAGGTATGTATGGACTTATCTAACTCTGGGGGATAAGGTGAATAGGCTAAAGTCCCAAAAAGTCGGAGTGTTCCTTTAACACTAAACCTACCCATTACAGAAAACTTTCTGCATTTTTGACATTTTTAAAAAAACAAAACATTTAGTATGTTTTTTTTAAGCCATTGGGGTTTACGAGGACACAGGAACATAAACCATATATACATAAACCATACAAGAACACACCTGTGTGTGTGTGTTCTTGCATATATGGTTTATGAGGACACATTTGTATTTATAATATATATTATATATTTCTTTGGATGTCATCATAGTCCAAGACTTAAAGGCACACTGTGGAACTTTTCAACCTTTATAATATATTACCAAAACCCATTGAGATGGTACATCGACTTACAATAGGTTGAATGACACGTCTGCCGAAGCCTGAAGGTGTCTGTATCGCTTTTACTAGCACTATGTAACTTCGGGTTTCGGGTAGGAACCCGAGCACAAAAAGAACTACAAAATTCGACCGCTTTACGGCATACGTCACTTCCCCCACCACCCCAACTTCCTCAAATTCTAACGTGATAGCGCAACTCGCGTTTGATTGCCGGCGTCTGTATGTTGCCGTCATGACTGAATCAACAGCTACTCGGAAGAAAGCGAAGAAAGCAAAGATTTTGTCAGAGGAGACCAAAAAAAGAAAAAGGGAGAGTTTAAAATAAACATCGGCATAAAAGTGTATATATAATGTAATATTTACTGCGAATTCGTGTAACAAAACTGATATAAGTCACAACATACTGCCGTATACAAATGTAAATGTAAATGTTTTTTTTCCTTTCAGCTCATATATGTTTGTATTTGTGTAAAAGGAAAAAAAAACTGAAGACTACAAATAATGGAAATATGTAGTGAGTTATATCAGTTTTGTTACACGATTTCCCGACTACTCGATTTCATCTCCAACCCATTGCAAAGAGATCCTGAAGACGTTAATTGTTTGCTTCAGGTGTGTTTGATTAGGGTTGGAGATGAACTGTGCAGGACAGACGATCGGCAGGAGCAGGATTGGGCAACCCTTGTCAATGCGACTTACCTGATCAGACATTGTTTTCTGCGTATGCTACTTTTATTCAATTTGTTTTCTTTATAGAATTTATATTATTATTTTGGTCACTTTTTTTTGGTTACTTTCTCCAACATACAAATCAAATGCTGTCTGCACACACATAAAGACACGGGAGGTTGACCGGTTGACTGTTTGTTGACTTTTGCGACAATGCTGCGGCGCTTGTGGCCTCTAGGGGCACTAGACGTGAAAATTACAGGTCGAGCGCCCCCTAGTGGCCAAAAATTCCACAGTGTGCCTTTAAGTCAACAGGGTGCGAATTTTAAAAAGAGGATAACACGGTCGGTTTTTGTCGTTGTTATCTGTACTGACAGCACTCCAAATTTACAAAAAATGAGCTCAATGTTAAAATTGACCGGAGTTTTCCTTTAACGTTTGAACAACGTTACCATGGGAGTGAATGGAGTTGTCAGAACGCTTAATAAAGTTTGACTTTATCTGACTGTTTTGTTGACATTTGTTGACATCTAGTGGATGCATAACGCAAACCCAGTCAAACGTTTGACTGCAGTATCTTATGCGCCTTATAATCCGGTGCGCCCTATATATGAAAAATGTTCTAAAATAGGTCATTCATTGAAGGTGCGCCTTATAATCCGGTGCGCCTTATAGTGCGGAAAATACGGTTATTTCCAAATTAATAAATTCAATGATTTTAAGGCTTTTTAAGACCCCGCGGGAACCCTGTTAATTATATATTAATTCTGAATAATTTATTTATTTGGCAGATGCTTTTATCAAAAATATTTTAAATGCACCATTACATCTAGCACATTTTCGATATTACATTTTCGGCATTGTTTTAATGATTTCATCAGTTTTCTTTGAAAGTTTATTTTAAATTACCTTCATTTATTTTACTCTGAGGTGGAAATGGGCTTTCATAGTTTTTCGATTACACAAGTATAGACCTTATACGCCAGAGAAACAAGCGCACAGCCATCTTTAGAATATTGTGTTTGATCTTCAGTTTTTGCGGTAGATCTGTATATTTCTATGGCATCGACGTTGAAGAGTAATTAGCTGGTGAAATGAATTTATTTGTTGTAGGGTTCACAAAAGTTATCATGAGCATTGTAATGTTTGAAGCGGATGTCACATCAAACATCAGTAGACTAGACAGTGAAGAGTTTAAAACGGGCAGTTCATTTATAAATCCGTAAGATCTTACCTTCATGCTGTGGAAATACGAACAGGAAGACAGAACACAACAAGTGCAGAACTGAAAAGGGGCGGGGCTATAAGATCTATGTAGTGTAAAACCATTTTTTTTTGCTCATAAATAAAAGGTGAATGTGAGCAAGGCAAGCAAAGGCTCCCCCTGGGGGTATAGATAGCACACTACAGACCCATGCAAGCACACACACAACGATCCTGTATATGTTTGTATATGAAACAAACATAATAGTTTCTCAGTATAATGAAACTAAAACAAAGTCATAACGAAGAATCTACAACACCACACACTACTCTCCGTTTCTCACCTGGAACTGTACTTCTGCAAAATGGCCTCCAGCGTGCTCACGAGCTCCTCAGAGTTCACAGTCTTCTGGCTACCCAGAGAGTGCATCTTCTCGTAGAAGTCTGCGATCTCCACCCTGGCCTGCGTGAAGTGACACAGCTGCTCGGACAGATGAGACAGGAGGTCCTCCAGGTTGGGAGACGAGCCTCCGGATGTGTGGCGGCCCATGGAGACCACCTTCTTCAGTTCGTTTTGAAGAGACGTATAGATGGTTCTGATGGAATCCTTACGGCTGAAGAATGACTGACCACCTGCATGACACGCATACATGAATATGTTTCAGCTTGAATATGAAGCCAATAACAGACCAAACAGATGGTGATGTATTATGTATGGCCACATGGCGCCATCTGCTGTATTTAAATGATACTGCTCTCTCATACACCATTATGACATGTCCAACAAAATATTGGATTAGCTGATACATGCACATTCCAGTGTTTTTTTAGTTTTTTTTTTTTACATGTACCAGGGTAATACCACATGTTTGGCATATTCATTACCATGGTGACATGTACTAGAATAATACTATGTCTAAAAAGTAGGGATGGCCCGATACCGATACTGGCATCGGGCCGATACTGTCCTAATATACTCGTACTCGTACTCATAAAAATTCGCCGATACCACGCACCGATACCACGTACATTTTGCAAAACGAAACTGGCCGCCGCGAGTGCTTTGTCGAGGTGAACTGAGGCATAGGAAAGTATAATGTCGGCGGTTTGGGCTCATTTCAAGATAAGGGGTGATGACAACAGCAAGGCAGACTGTGAGTTATGTTCAGCTAAGGTGTCGAGAGGAGGGAAAGAAAGTACATCGTTTAACACCAGCAATCTAGTTAAACATCTGAAGACGCATCATAGATCTGATGGCCGAGCGCGCGCGCGGGCGGTAATGCACTCACTCTGTGTGTGCGGGTTACGGGAGAATAAAACGATTCGCGGGACTCCCGCAAACTAGAAATATCTATGAATAAAAAATAAAAGATTTTTATTCATCTCTTGCAGAAAAGCAACAAGAACAACTACAACAAAATAGAAACGATTTACAGGACAGAGTTTCTATTCATAACATGGTTACAGCGTTGAGCGATGTAGCCAATCACAGACATATGTGTTGATTTCTGGAACGCAATGGCCAATCAGAAGCATTTAAGATAGACTCCCCTCACCACTCAAAACGGACTTTTTTGTTCAGTGCTGAATTCTGTATGCTGGCAAATCCTCTAATTATAATGAACAAAGTGTGGATATTATGAAAGATTGATTGTGCAGTCAGCTTCATTGATAATAACAGAGTTGTGTGAGATCGCGATGAACTGTCAGCTTTTAGGATTTATTAAGGGAGCGCACTTTGCGCGCATTCAGAATGCCAGACCATGCACGCAGTAGCCTGCTTGCTTTTATGTTAAATTAACAGTGGTTTGTGTGTTAATACATTTATTATTTTACAATTTTTTTTTTTTTTTTTAGACTTGTTAAAACAAGCAGAGAAGAAAATAAAAACAGTCTTCTAACCTGTGTTCTAAAATAGTCGTCTTCTCTTCTGGGAGCCTATTAATTTTGCGGTAGAAATATCGGTATCGGTACTCGGTATCGGCAAGTACACAAATGTAAATACTCGTACTCGTATCGGTTTGAAAAAAAATGGTATCGGGCCATCCCTACTAAAAAGCCATAACTGGCATGCCAAAGACATAAAGCATGGTGTTATCCTGGAACAGGGCTAAACATATAAGATTACTATGATGTTACTGAATGATTAGCATAATAAAAGTGTGTAGTGTTCAAATCTGATACATGTGGAAGCAGATTTCCGCCACATAAAAATTATTTGGTAAATCAAAATTATGACATAAAAAATTGTGAGGTATAATCTCATTATAATGAGATAAAATGTGGAAATTATTAGATATTAAGTAATTATTATGAGACAAAACCCCATAGTTGACAAATCATGGTACAATTATAATTATGTATAATGAAAGTGTCATTTTTTTGTCACAATTATAACTTCTTGTTATAATTACAACTGTCATAATTTCGACTGTTTGTAAATTGACTTGACATACTTTTGACTTCTGTCATAATAACTGACATTTTATCTCAATTTCGACTTTGTCTTAGTTTTGATTATTTCACAATGTAGACTTTTTATAATAATAATGAAGCAATTAAGACTTTACGAGACTTTTTAAAAAAAAATTAATTTCATCTCTTATTTCAACTTTTTAATGTCAATTTCGATATTATCTAAATTGTGACCTCATAATTTCATTTGTCATAATGTTACTTTTTATCTCATAATTATGAATTCTAATAATTCCGACTTTTTGTTATAACTTCTGTCTCATCATTTAAGACTTTATATAATAATAAATAAGTAACTAGGACTTTTTAATCTCAATTTTGATTTTTAATGTCAAAATTTCCCATTAATCTCACAATTGTGAGTTGATATTTTGTCATTTCAACTTTTTAATGTCAATTTCGATTTTATCTAAATTATTGCTTTTTTATCTCTTAATTTCCTTTGTCATAATGTCACTTTATTTAATCATTTTGACTTTTAATCAATCATTTTGTCATGATTAAAACACCAAAGCATGTTTTGTTTTTTCTTCTTATGTGGCGGAAATGGGCTTCCAGAACCCCTCCCCCACCCCCGGGTACAAACAGAGGTTTTAGTTGTTGTTGTAGGAATAAGGATACAGTAGAGGTGCTTCTCTCATACCTAGTTTCTGGCCGAGGAAGGTCATGTTGTGGTAGGCTTTCTCTGCGGCTGCCAGGTGTGCGAGAGCGGCCAGCAGAGACGCCCAGATGGCTCCTGCACTCTTACTGGAGTCCTTCTCCTTCTCCACATAATCCTTCGCCCTGTCAAACCAGAACATCCCGAGCTGTGTGAAGAAGCTCTCGAGCACGGCTCTCTCTTTAGGAACCGGCCGCAGTTCCTCATCGCGCTGCGTGTCACACATGATGACAGGGACAAACCAGCGCACTTGCGCTCGCAGCTGCCGCACATTCACGCGAAAGCGTTATTTAATGAGCGCTTAAACTGCTCGACGTGCGCGTTATGTTGTGTCCGACAGTCGCGGTCGCTAGAAAAGACCATAACAAACCACACCAACGAGTTTGAATGACTCAGATCGTTTTCTGCAGGTAAAATGCACATTCTTGGTGCTAAACGCCACCATGACACTTTTCAATGACAACACTACGGCAAGCCAAAGGAGACAAATACGTCTGTATATGAAACGCGATTCATATAAAAGCAATACGCAGATAAATCAGCTAATTTAAAATTGCAATTTTATTTAAATATAATATATTTGAACATATTTTGATATCTCTATATCCGTCCATTAAACCTTATTATATTGCAAAGACTATTCAGACCGTTTAAACTTATATTTACAAACGTGTGTGTGTGTGTGTGTGTGTGTGTGTGTGTGTGTGTGTGTGTGTGTGTGTGTGTGTGTGTGTGTATATAATGGGAGAGATGATGCCACTATTCACAATTTTTTATATATATATATATATATATATATATATATATATATATATATATATATATTAATGTTCGTTTTTACTCCAAAAAATCTACAAATTTTCATTTGACATATATTCTATATATTCATATATTTCACAGTCATGGTTTAGGTATGAGTGAGGTCCCTTTCATTTTTTGTGTGATCAGTGGTTGTCATGCCAGCCTCTGCCGTAAAAGTTTCGCTTCGGCTTTGTTCTTTGCGACGATGACAGTCGCTTGACGGCAGACTGGGGCAGGGCTGCCTGTAAGATCCGAGACGTCTGATCGTCCGCGCATCTGTCCGATAGTTCAAAGTTTATTCAAATTAATCAATCGAATCGGGCCTAATGGATCCCAATCGAATCATACAGGCTCTGAAGGGCACCATAGACCCGAATCTCAGGCTAGCGGCTGAGAATGAACTCAACCAGGTCAGTGAACCATCTAGAGAAGTTTCTTTGGGAAGCAGAAGCACCGAAAGACCAGAGATGCCTTTAGTGAATATGCGGTTGTAGGGCCTGATTTTAATGCATACGACAGGATAATGCTTAATCTGTCTGATTGAGTCACTATTTATTCTTTGCTAACTATTTAGATGGTTGATTTTGTATGTATTGGTTTGCAAACTACTTGCAATGCATCGATGGCATCAGTGTGCAACAATAGATAGAGATGCGGTAACGTTACTCTTCTGACAACCAGTCCTTATGGACTAAATTATAGTGATATTTGTGTCCTGTGCCTTTAAAAAAAAAAAAAATCTGATCTGTTTTTATGCAAAAGAGTAGTAGTCCCATAATACCCCTATGAATGATGTGGAATGTGCACTACAGAATTTATAGGTCTGATGTTGTAATGTGTCCTGATTCTGCTGCATGTAAATCACCATTGCTACAGACCACTGATGCAATTCTGTGCAATTCACACTCTGAAAGCGCTCTATATAAAGTCTGTTCTCTTCCAGATGAACTTGTGTGTGTGTGTTTGAGAGAGCTGATTTTTAAAAAAGATTCAGTCCAAATAGTTATATTCATTTCATCACATTTGACCCCCTAACGGTTCTTCGTTATATTTGTTATAGAGAGTATATTGCCTTTTTAAAGTCACCATGAAATCAAAATGAACAATTCTTAATTTGATAAGTTTCTTAAAGTTAAATAATTTATCCATGCAGATCATTTTTAAATTCATGTGTACTCGTAATCTGAAATTAAAAAAAAACTTCCCTTACCTCTTGCAACCATATCTCTTCTCTTCTCTGATGACGTGTTTACTGGCGTGAGGGCGGGACAACCTGTCACTCACATAAGATCGACCAATAGCAAACCACAACCATCCAAACAACAGCATTGGCCCAAGAATAGAGCCTTGAGGTCCTCCACAAGAAAGAGATGCCGACAGGGACACAAAGTCTCCAAGGCAGACCGAAAACATTCTGTCAGATAGATAGGACCTAAACCACTCCAGAGCAATGCCTTTGATGCCAACACAGAGGTCCAACACAGAAATTTGTTTACAAAAATCAAACTCGTCAACCTCATGATTTTATATATATATTGGTTTGTTTTCAGTCCTACAAGATCATCAACTTCGCCCCAACTCTGCTGCAGATCATTGTGTCGGACCAGGTGGAGTTTCCTGTGCGACAGGCAGGCAAGAGCTTCTCTTTTCCTATAGTGTTGTGATGCTTTTTGAACCATATGAAAATACTGATCAATCAAGCTGAGTCTGATTCAGTCAGATTGTACCCAACTGGATGAGTCTGGGATGAGATTTTTCCGTTTAAATTTTGTGCATTCTGATTGGATGAAATAGCCATTGACATCATATTCTTCTTCTAGCTGCCATCTACCTGAAGAACATGGTGAGTCAGTACTGGCAGGACCGAGAGCCCACGCTGGGGGAAGTGATGTTTCCCTTCAACATCCATGAAAACGACCGTGGACAGATCCGAGAAAACATGGTGGAGGCCATTATTCGCTGTCCAGAGTCCATAAGGTGAGGCAGTTGTGCGACTCCGACATTGCTTAAGATTTACAGGTGTTATAACTTGAGGCGGATTCTTTGTTGTTGTTGGTTGACAGGGCTCAGCTGACAGTATGTTTGCGTGCTATAATAAAACACGATTTCCCTGGACGGTGGACGGGCGTAGTGGACAAGATTAACCTGTACCTGCAGTCCCAGAACAGTGGGAGCTGGTACGGGAGTTTGCTCGCGCTTTACCAACTCGTCAAAAACTATGAGTGAGTGAACCATACACTTTCTGTGACATGAAACAGAAGTTGTGATAGTCTTTTCTTCCCTGTTGTGATGTACGAGTGAAACGACAAGAAGGAAAAACGCAGGGCACGAATTATTGATTGGATGGTTGTGAAGTTAATTTGATTAAAGATAAGGAGGGAATGTTCATTTATTATTTTAATTTGCACAGATAAATCATTTATAATAAATACTCCAATATTCCATAACGACAAAAATAATTGTCAATTTTGATTTCATGGTGAATTTAACGTTGCTTACCTGGGATAGTCCATTTTCCCCATCTCATAATTGTCACCATCCAATCAGATAGATTTCGGTTAAATCAGAGGTTTATGAAAGATTAAATGAAATATGTTTGAAAGCTGATCATTATGGTTCTGCGGTGGGCAGGTTTAAGAAGGCCGAGGAACGGGACCCCCTGTTGGCTGCGATGCAGATCTTCCTGCCGCGGATCCAGCAGCTCATCACTCAACTTCTGTCTGACGCCACATTCATCTCAGTTCTCATCCAGAAACAAATCCTAAAGATTTTCCATGCACTCGTACAGGTGTGTGTGTGGACATTTGTTTAATTTGTATACCTGATTAGTCCTAAGGTGTCATTGCTCAGCCTGTGTGTGTGTGTGTCTGCAGTATTCCCTCCCCCTTCAGCTGATCAATAACACAGTCATCACCCACTGGATGGAGATCCTGCGGACAGTTGTGAATCGGGACGTCCCAGCAGTAAGTTTGTGAAACAGTTAAGAGTTAAGATATTATGGGCAGATATAATATTACAACTTTCTGCTGAATGATTCTCAGGAAACTCTGGAAGCTGATGAGGACGATCGACCCGAACTGATCTGGTGGAAATGCAAGAAATGGGCTCTGCACATCATCACACGGATGTTTGAGAGGTGATTAAACAAGCCAGACCACAATGTGGTCATATGTAATAGAAAGAACTATATTGATCCTCTAATAGGAAATTCACTTTTCACAAAGGCAGAGTCTAAACAGAGCAGCACCAAATTATTCTTTTTTTCTTAAAGGTTTAGTTCACCCAAAAATGAAAAGTCTGTCAGTAATTACTCACCCTCATGTTGTTCCAACCCCGTAAGACCTTCGTTCATCTTCGGAACACGAATTAAGATATTTTTGATGAAATCTGAGAGCTGGATCACTCCTCCATACTAGTCCATAGGCTTCTTCAGGGATTGAACTTGCCGGCCTCGAAAAGTTATTAAAGACATCGTTAAAATAGTCCAAGTGACTACAGTGGCTCAATCTTAAGTTTATCAAGCGACGAGAATACTTTTTGTGCGCAAAAAACCCAAAAATAACGACTTTATTTCAACTATTCATTTCCTTCTCTGTGGGCCTCGAGTCAGTTCACTAGTGTAATAGCGTAAGCTTCTGTTGTTGTACGTCACACGCATCACGCACATGACCAGCGCCGGCCAATAGTGAGCCTACGTGTGACGTAGCTCTACGGAATCACACTACGTTAACTGACTAGAGGCCCAAAGAGAAGGACATGAATAGTTGAAATAAAATCGTTATTTTTGTTTGTTTTGGCGCACAAAAAGTAAACTCGTCGCTTGATAAACTTAAGATTGAGCCACTGTAGTCACTTGGACTATTTTAACGATGTCTTTAATAACTTTTCGAGGCCGGCAAGTTCAATCCCTGAAGAAGCCTATGGACTAGTATGGAGGAGTGATCCAGCTGTCAGATTTCATCAAAAATATCTTAATTCGTGTTCCGAAGATGAACGAAGGTCTTACGGGGTTGGAACAACATGAGGGTGAGTAAATACTGACAGAATTTTCATTTTTGGGTGAACTAACCCTTTAATAACTGGGATATTATATTGTATTATATGTTTGTATATTAATTGTATATATTTTTGTGTAATTACATTCATTTCATTATTTATCAAAATATCTTGGAATATTATATTATATATTATATTATATTTTGTTACATTTGATTAAATTGTATTATATTATGTTAAATTGTTTGTATTTTATATGATTAATTACGTACATTTCTATCACAATAACTTGAATTAAATTATATGATATTATTAATTGATTCATACTGATTTGTATATCTATTTCCAGATATGGGAGTCCAGGAAATGTCACAAAGGAATATGTCGAGTTCGCTGACTTCTTCTTGAAGACGTATGCTGTGGGGATCCAGCAGGTATGAACAGCTTTTGTAGTGTTGACATTGACACCTTGCACAATTAAGAACATATTGTTGTGCTACCAGAGTATAGTGATGGTATTTTCATGGTACTTCAAATAACTTAAAACATCATGCCCAAACAACATGACGAAACCATAACTGTTGTTTGTGCGTGCAGGTCATGTTAAAAGTGATGGACCAGCACAGACAGAGGCAGTACGTGAGTCCTCGTGTCCTCCAGCAGGCGCTGAGCTACATGACTCAGGGCGTCTCACACTCACTCACGTGGAGACAGATGAAACC